ACAGCAGTTTCTAGAAAATCTATGAAATATTTTACATTCGACATATAGAAAAGTATTCCATTGAAAATGAATCCAAATASACAGTCCTTGGTGGAGAACAAATTGCTTCTGGTATCGGGCACAGGTGAATTTTAAAGACAACTAGTTTACAACAGAATGAGACTCTTTGTCCAAATCTGAACACAAATGGCTTCCTTTTATTTTATGGAGATATTGAAGGAGGCTCTCAGTGGAGCAAGGAGAGTACAGGCTAAACATTTGTGCAACAGCCCCAAGGCAAAAGGACTACACTAAGAAAATGCGTAAGACTAGCACTGTCAGGCGACAGGAAAACCCTGCTGYTGTTTGCAGTGGGGGAAAGTGTACTCAAAGGGCACTGATTTGGGTCTGCTGGTAACAGCCAGAAGCAAAAGCTGGAATAAGGACAACCTGGAGGGTTYCCTGTCTTCAATACACTGCCTGGAACTAGGGATTGTAGCAGTGACTGGGAAGTATTTTCCAGTCTCAATCTACTTTTATTCTGACACACTAGATAAATCTTGGGACTGATTTAGAAATTGTGGTGTAGCAAACACCCCAGCAGCCAGCTCATACAGAGGAAATGCCCAGCCTCAATTCTCCATGATACCACGCTCAATAATTGTCAAGAGCAATACCCTACATAGAAACACAGTGTATCCTAGATACTATGGAAGGAACATTATCTGCAGCACCAGAAGTACAAATGTGGTCCATAGAGTCAATTTCCTCCTGTACATATTCATAAACCCACCAGAATACTTGGACTGTGCCTATGTGTGCTCCTRCTCATGTGTGGGCTATACAAAAGGATACGGGACTTAATGTGCTTGATGTGCCAGAGTTTTTTGCTGAAAAGGTCCTAAAGTTTGACAAGAGGAAGAGAACAARAATTGGAATGGTTTTAGAGAAGAAATATGTCACACTGGGAAAGTTCTGGTGATTTTATTTGTAGCTTTTAATAATTAGCTGTTTCCATCTTTACAATTAATTCTTTGTCAGTATTACTACAAATGCCTTCAATTTCCTCACTGTCCCCCAGTGGASTCCACCTCATTAATATGCAGCTTTAAGCAAGTATCGGAGCTGTCATGCATTTCAAATGTCCCCAAGGAAGACTTTTAAAATTGTAAGTAAGACCTGATACTGAGATTTTTCAGCACCAAACCTGGAAACAAAGCTTCTGTGCAGGCAGCRATGACTCTTCAAGTTACAGCTGCTGTCACCTTTTTTATCCTGAAATTTATTATAAATGTGAATACCTCAAAGCACTTCTTTGATCCAGCCAACATTTCCAGCTCTCATAAACTGCTGTCTACTGGATAGAACTGGGCTTTTGCCAGCATCTCAGATTTGAGTGATGAAGCTGAACTTCTAGGTCAGATTTAATTGCACTCACACTGAGAAATACGCAGAGAAATCCACTGAAGGCACCAGAGGGATAGCACACTATGGCAAACACACGAYGGTGTGATGGAGAAACTGGAAGGTTTTATACTTGCCAAAAGACAGGTCATAACAGTTCACAGATGTGTCATGCCCAGATTGAGATCAAAATCCAGCCACAATGCTTTGAGASCAGCTTTAGCTTGAACCTCTGACACTTAAACCTGCATCCAAGGGCTTTGGCTCTTGTCCACTTGCTCATAAATGTCTGAACAGCCCCATTTTCTCAGCTCTGTCTCAAATTAAGRACAACAAGCACTCTAACTTCTGAACTGCTAGCATAAATAATTTACCAGGACTAAGGTTAAGGCAGATTCCCATGACTGCCGACTACACTAACAGAAGAAATTTGTAAACTTGAAATTGAGAGCTGTGGAGCTGCTTTGTCTTTGGCATGTTGGTGATTCTGCTAACTAATTATCTTTCATTAGTGACACATGGAGTGTAAGGTTTTTGTAAGACGAAACCAAACCAACATCCACATTAGAGAGCCTAAAAAGAGGGACAAAGCCATACCTCTGCTTCTCATAGGGAAAACTCTTAACCCAGAAAAAGGGTTCTTTAGTAGGGCTTCTTGCTGGAGTGATGCTATGGTGTCCCATAATCTGTCCAGCACAAAATAACAGGAACTGGAAAGATTKTAGCAGCAAAATACCATAAATATTACCCCTAGAATACCTAGAAAATTTGGAATATGTCTCAGCTTCCAAAATTGTTCACTATTCAATAAAGTCTCTTTTGAATGACCAAAATGTCAGTAAATACTGACACCTATTAGGAGGGAGAGCTGATCCGACAGCAACAGAGCTATTGAACAACAAAGTTGCAAACCTGCAAGTTGTGAGAGGTGYTCTCCAAGTTCACCTTCTTAACAATTCCAGCAAACTTGTGGGTGAGGAAATGAAAATTTGCTACTGAGACAATTCTGGCTCTCAAAGCACGATTCCCCCTTGTCCTGAGGTCTTAATTTCCTGTGTGGAGGCATTCTGCCTTCTCACCAGCCATGACCTTACTTCTGCACATCAAACCAAACTTAGCCATGAGCTAAGGAGCGAGAAATCCATCCTCAAGATCCTGCCCATCCGTTTTTGTCCTGCTGGGCTGCTGCAGCCCCCCTTCAGCCGCGCTGCTGGCGGGCACCCTACTGAAGTGGCGAGTTTGGGACGCTGCTGGAGCCCTCACCCAGGCAGGCAGCGAGCAGAACCCGCTATTCTGTCAGCCCGGGGAGGCGCTCCGCCGTGTCCGAAGGAGCCCAAGCAGGCGGGGTTTCCCCATGGACGGGCAGCGCTGCTCCCGTTCCAGCCCCGGTGCGGGCAGCTCCCGCCGCCCCTTCCCGCCGCTCCCGCCCGCGCGCTGCCGGCAGAGGGCGCGCGCCGCCCGCCAACGCCGCGC